AATAAATAATAAATTATACTCTTATATCAGACTATTGACTTTTATTTAGCCTTATTTAGTTTATTAAGTTGTTTTATTTGATTTATTTTTTAAATTATAACATTCCCGACAAGGGCGGGACATGATATTTATGTAATACCGATAACATTTCCAATATAATTTTACATATAAAATGACAGCGATCTTCATTTCATAGCCATCGCTGACGCCGTTTTTTTGCCATCGCTGATGCCCACTGAGCGAGTATATAAACGCTCAAATTGTAGATTTTAGTTTAGTTTTAATCATCTACTGATGATGCTAACATGGTTAGCGAAACCAGCATCCAGTGTAAAAGGAAAAGTGTTTTGGTGTATTGTGGTGATTTAGTGTTTTATTTTGTTGCTATTTATTATCGTTTACTTTGCTATAAATATGGTAATTAGGATGTATGTAAATACAGGATGTTCAAAATTTTACGCCAAACTTTCTAGAATATAAAATAATATTCTTCTTCGTTTTTTATTGGAACACCTTTTATATTACTTTTTTATTAAATGGAGACTTAAAAATGATTGTTTTTTTGTATTTAAAGTAGGTATTCCAAAATTTTTTACTGTTTCATAGATATTTATAGTAAAAAAAAATGGTCCTACGAATAATCGTTGTACCGATATTTAAACAAACGTAAGTGCCGAATGATCGAAAAAAACGGCATCAAAAATGAACGCTACTTATAGAAAGATTAAAAAAGGATAGAACGTTCCCCAGACACACAAAACTATTTTCAAAAATACAATTTTACACCACACTATTTAAAAATCATTTTACTCAATATAACAATAAATTACTACCTTAAAGGTACATTCATATACATGCGAATTGCGAAATGGGAATTGTGAATTTTACGAATTAAATCCGGCGTTTATTTACGTAGTTCATATAGTTGCGAAATTTGCAATTCTAGGGATATTTGTGTTTTTAATCACATGTTTTGAAAATGTCACTTGAATAAAGAATTTTATTTATAGGTTTATTATTCTAAGTATATTTTTATGTAATGGATGAATTTATTTTAGCGTAGAACATTTTATATTGCTGTATATTTATCAATAAAAAAAAAACAACAAAAATAAAATACATAGAACAATTGAAACATGTATATGTAATTAAAAAGTTAAAAGAGCAATTATTAGCATATCAAAATTTACTGCAATAAATGAGAATTAACGATGAAAAAAAAATAGAAACTACCATAGAAAATGTCTATAAAGAATTTTGATTCTTGATGGTTTTCAAAATTTTCCAACATTACCAGTTTGCAGTCAAAACATTGTATTTACGTTTGCAGTCAAAACATTGAAACGTACTACAAATTAAAGAAAAATGAAATTAGATTGTAAAAAATTAGGTATCTATAATGATAATGTACAATTTTTTCATACCTTTTGAGTTTATTCCATCTTAAGCAATGTTTATGTTATTATAACCATAACAAGAAATTAATGACAGGAGATATATCATAATCAGGAGACATATTATAATCTAAAAATTCAAAATTCGCAGCGAATATTCGCAAAAAATATATCAGTGTCAATATCCCTCCCTCCAGATTTTAAATTATACGAACTGCCGAACGCTTGAAATCGACCAATAACAACAATATTCGCCATTCGCCTGTGTATGAACCTACCTTAAAGAATAAAGAAGAGTTATGGCCAAGTAACGCCAAAACTATCATTGATTGTCATTCAACATCATTTCGATCATTGTATGATCGAAAAATAAAACGGCGTCAGCGATGTCTCTGAAGTGAAGATAGCTGTCATTTTATATGTAAATTTATATGGGAAATATCATCGATCGTAATTTCCCAGCCAACTGGACGCCGTTTTTTTTCAATCATACGGTACAACTTGCGTGCTAAAACTCTCTAATGAATAGGCCGGTTAAAAAACTGCGCATCGGCAATCAATTCTTGCTCTAACAAAACTTCCGTCCGGTCGAGTGATTAGCGATCGTCCGAAAAAAAAAACATTTTCATGACATTTTTCAGGATAATACGGTTATAATTCATTGCGGGCCAATTTCGAATGTCCGCCAGTTGAAACTGAACTAATTTGCCAGGCAAAACGGGACATTTTTTCAAATTTCCGTTGCAACGATGTTGGTTGTTACAGTTCGAGCGGAATGGAATGGTTTGTCACCGATTATTTTTTATCTATTTGTCTGTATTATCCTCGTATATTTTAAATTTAACTTTAGATGCATAATAATTTGGGATAGATTTAGGAGTTATAAGCCGAATTTTTGGAAAAGGGTAATTTACTAATCATTCAGATAGTTAAGGTCATTCCTAAAGGCTTGCAGCATCTAGTCCCCATAGAGTCACTGGTATATCTAGTGGTGTAACGATGGCATTTGTAAATTTTAAATATAATCGAAGTCTTAAAACGGAACACAAAAATCTAGAATACTCCATCCGAAATCTGGAATGGGAATCATCCAACGGTCTAAGACTCTCGAACATATTTCTCAGAACTTACCGACAGTGTCGTGTGACATAGTCCTAATAACCAATAGTTCTGAAGAGCTGCAAACACACATTAACGAACTAAATATAGCCAGCAATAAAGTAGGTATCAAAATGAATTTAGCAAAATGTAAAGTAATGTACAACGAACTAGTGGACAGAAAAGACATTAATAACACAAAACTGGAAATAGTAGAAGAATACTTATATTTGGGACAACTAACACACAGCTTGGAATCTCTACTAATAGAAAGCAACAGAAGAATTCGGTTAGCGTGGTGTACTTATGGATGAAACTCAATCATATTCACATCTAGAATGCCACTTTATCTAAAGAAGAAAACATTCGACCAATGTGTACTACCAGTCATGACCTATGCATGCAAAACCTGGACACTTAAAACGGGCATTATCACACAACGCTCAATGGAACGAAATATGCTCTAAACAGTCGAGAAAGACACTAAAAGAATAGAGTGGATACGACAAAAGATCCAGGTAATATACAGGGTGTTTCAAAACAAATGCGAAAAACTTCAGAGGGTGATTTTTTGTTCAAAATAAAGGGTAGTTTGTTTTATAAACGTTGGGTCAAAAGTCAACCATTAGGGAGATATTGCGGTACAAAGATGGCGGAAAAATAAGGTTTTCATTTTTTATCTTGAAAACGAATAACGATAGACTAATGAAATTTTATGGAAGCATTACTGTTATGAGAACACACTTTCTGGTAATTTTCTCACTTTTTTAAAATGAGTGGAAGGGGTTGAAATAAACTACCCCTATCATTCTTGTTAAAGAAATTTAAAGAAAAATTTTATCAAACACATGCAAAAAAATTAATTTGGATAGATTAGTTTGTTTAGAAACTTTTTTATCTCTTGTGTTTTTTTGATAAAACTCACCGATTTGAAATTACAAAATAAAATGTAAAGCATTACATGTCAGGACAAAAAACATTTTTAGATACAGAATCTAGTGGGCTGCTCTATTTTTTTTAGGAAAAAATCTAGTCGGGCACTGTTACTTTTTAGGATGTTTCTAATATTATTTTATTGTGATTACTCTACTGCAATACGTTATTATCTAGATTCTTATTATTATCGTTATTATCACTAGATTCTTTATCTAAAAATGTTTTTTTATCCTGACATGTAATGCATTACATTTTATTTTTTAATTTCAAATCGGTCAGTTTTATCAACGAAACACAAGAGATAAATAAGTTTCTAAACAAACTAAACTATCCAAATTAATTTTTTTGCATGTGTTTGATAAGATTTTTCTTTAAATTTCGTTAACAAGAATGATAGGGGTAGTTTATTTCAACCCCTTCCACTCATTTTAAAAAAGTGAAAAAATTACCAGAAAGTGTGTTTTCATAACAGTAATGCTCCCATAAAATTTCATTAGTCTATCTCTTTTCGTTTTCAAGATAAAAAATAAAAACATTATTTTTCCGCCATCTTTGTACCGCGATATCTCCCTAATGGTTGACTTTTGACCCAACGTTTATGAAGCAAACTACCCTTTATTTTGAACAAGGAATCACTCCCTGAAGTTTTTCGCATTTGTTTTGAAACACCCTGTATATCATCCAATAGATGTCACAAAAATTACAGCATGCTATCCACAAGGAATTAAGAGACCTAGAGGAAGACGAAACCTGAGATGGGAAAATGATATTATGAATTTAGCAGGGATAACTTATATGGCATAGCCAACAATACCAATGGGCCCAACTTCAACGGGAGTATTTAAATACGTGAGAGAGGCTACACCATAATTAGAAATGGTTGAATAAGCTGATGAATGATGATGATGGTGATTAATTCGTGGATATGAAAAATGCTATCTACATATATATGTTTAGTTTCACTACTAAAACTATTAAGAATTTGTATACAAGGATGTAAGTAACAAATCTATCAAGACATTCCAGTTAATTGAACAAAGAGTGAGACATTAGTGTTCAGCAATTAGACTCTCCTTATTTAGCAGCATAGGGTGATCTAATTTATAATAGTAATTATATGTTAATATGTTAATTCTGGATCGTTGGAAAATTTTAACAAATTTTTGGATACTAAATTTTCTTTCATTTGCTGCAGTTGAAAATTACGGCATCTTCCTTATCAGTATTTCTAAACATTTTGTAGGTTAATATCTTACATTTTATCATATGATATTTTATGTCTATGTTATCACAGCGATAGACAATAAGTTGGAAGGGACTGGTCAAATAATATTAAAATTTAAATGTTCTGTACTTGAAAAAAAAATAAACAAATATTCAGGACAGCTGATATTATTTCGTCCTATATCATTTTATAAGGAAGCCTGCCCAACAAATCACAACTTATAGCGTATATTTGCTTTGAACTTTTAGTTTTTTTTTAGTTTTAAAGATTCAAATCATTTTTGTTTTCTTATCCAAACTAGACATGTCTAGATATATTATTTGAATAACGTTATTTCTTTGTTTCAGATTCTTCTTAAAATTCTTCCTAAAGTGCAATCAAAATTGCCTGAAAAATGCGGGCAACCCTAGAGATATGAGAAGATTTCAGGTAAGTTAAAATTAATACGTGTTAAATTTTGTCTACATAGGCTAAAGTATGTCTAAAGAGTTAGTGAAGACTTCACAGTATAAATAAGTTTTTTTCTTGTAAATAACTTTCTTATCGTTTGCATTTTATGCTCATGATGTTTGTTTAGGGCTTTTGTTCAAGTCTAAATATCACTGCCGCGCCGTAGAAACGAATCAATCGCATTGTGATCCGATTCAAATCTTACGACAATTGTACGACTCATTGTTCAAATTTTATGGATCCGTGCTGGCCACGATTCAATTGAGCGAACTGTATTGTCAGCAATGAATCAATTCTCACGACTCGTTGAACAAACGAGCCATAGAAACGAAAGATCGCATTGTGATTCGATTCAGTTTTCTCCACTCTTTTTTTTACGACTCTTTCCTTCAAATTTTATGGATCCGTGGGTAGATAACCAGACAATTCGGTATGTATATATGGCTGGATGCATTATGTGTATGTATGTGTCATAACAACGATAATAATCTGTAGTTGTAGTTTCTGTTTGTAGTGTGTCTGCTGTTTTTCAATACAAGTTTATTAAGTTTTACGTTTACTCCTAGTTTATTCTCCAAGCCGACTCTCTGAACAATAATACAACACCGTGCTGGCCACGATTCAATTGAACGAACCGTATTCTAAGCAGTGAATCGAATATCACGATTCTTTTTTAATACTCGTTCAGATGGACTCGTTCCATCTTTGCCCACGTCTATTAGATACAGTATGAAGTAAAATCAAACAAATATGACCAGCTAGTACTGAATAAGATATTCAAATGATGTGATTCTAAAGAACAATGTTATTACTATAACATTTTAATATTTTACACCCAGAATAGTTTGAATTTTAGATAACTACATACTAATACATAATCTACATATATAAAATGCTAATGTTTATCTGTGTCGTCTCTACTGAAGTAACGACTTGCTTTTGTTACAAGTTGCTTTTTTACTAAAAGATAGCTAATTGGCTCTTCTAAAAACTCTTTGGTTTTTTTGTTTTTTATTTAATAAAACAAATAATAAAAGGTATTTTTTTCCTGAGGTCGTGGCGGATGCGCCAGGCTTCAAATAGTATCAAATAAATCTCAAAATAATTAAACAGAAACATTAATCTTAATATTTAATTACTATAATTCTATATACATGTTCATTCTACATAACTATACAAATAAATATTATACGTAAGTATTTTGAATATCAATTATGAAACAAAACAAAAGTCCAATATTAAAAATTTAGAAACGTTACATCTACTCGAACAATATTATTTTGTAGCATTTCCTCTGTAGTGTTCTATTTGCGCTCCCTCGTGAATAATATACAAAGGCTCTTCAATTTCGCTGTTATTCCGTTTGTCGTAATATTTCCTGCTCACGACAATGTCGCCTTTCAGAAAGATTCTCTCGTTTTTTCCCAGGTTAAAGAGAGCCGGCAGTATTCCCTTACCTAAAAAAGTACAATAAATATGGAATATTACAAGTTTCCGTGGAAAAGTACCTCTCATTCATTAGAAAAGCTTGCCTATAGATATGAATAGTAGTGATGTAAAAAGACTTCTTTGAAGATTACCTGACAGCAGTGTATCGAATGAATTCGACCCGGAGTTTTTCGAGGCATTGGATTGGTTTTCGGCGTTTGGTTCGGCATTTGAGTGGTCCCGCTTAAGTAGTTCTGTTACGTATTCGTCTTTAAGCAGGAGTGTACTTGTGACTGGAGTATCTTCATCGTTGTCATTTATTTCTTCATTGGAAAAGTCCATGTCAGGATCCTCATTTGAAATATTGGTTTCTAGATAATACAGAAAAAAAAAATATTATATCTAATAATCGAAATAATTATACCAGTGTTTGCAACATACAAATTTTTAATAGTTAAAGATAATAATGGCAGAAAAATACCAAAAAAATCTTCTGCTTTAAATGGCTTTTTAGAGGAATAGTTGCGTAATTTTGTTTTCAGGAATAAAATGTGCTAATATTGTAGTTTTTACCAGTTTTAATACCTTCATCATTAATGGGGAACAGTTATTTCAATAAATAAATTAAAAAACAAAGAATAGTGAATTTGATTTTGAATGAGGACTCTAGAAGCACACAGGGTACAAGCATACAAGTGCACCAAAGTCAAAAATACAAGTACGCTAATATTACGAACGTTAATATTTGTTTATACAGGGTGAGTCTTAAAAAAGTGCAAATATTTTTAGGGGTATTATATTTCGATCCCAGAAACACGCCTATGAGGTTTTTTTGCGAACAGAATAGTTTGGAAATTTGGAATTTTTTTAAACATTTTTTGGAATTTTTATTTAATTTTTAGTTAAAAATACATAAATATTCATAGTATGGCAACATAGGTAGTAGATTAAGTTTATAAAAAAGAAAACCCAGAAAGGATCCAGTGAGAAAAATCATTTTTTTTTTAAATTGTCAAAGTAAAATATATCGTTTTTTTATGGAGATCTACAAGTCCTGAAAATATTTGCACTTAGTTAAGACTCACCCTGTATGTTGCCCCTGTGAGATTTATTAACAAATTAAGAAGGAGGTAGTATTATAAAAAAAATGTTTAGCTACCACTATAACGGGCCGTATTTTTAATATTAATAAATAAAATAATAATTATTTCAACTCGAGTGATTATTAATTGGTGAAATAATTATACAACTATGACGCCTCCTTTATAATCACGTAATCCAAGAAATTCAACATTTCAGAGCATGTCAAAAATAACTTGTGTAATCTATTGTTACAAAACTGCATCATTGTTTTACAAATGGACAAGCTTTTTTAAACCAGATAGCTGAAAATTGTTACACTTGTGTAACATTTAAAGAAAAACAAATTTTTATAGTAAAGTTTTCCAAAAATTGTTCAGGAAATCTATTTTTAGCTATTTCCTTCTTTAAATATCACCATATACAGGGTTGTTCACCACATACGACACGGAATATTGTAGCTAAACGGTGAGATGTTTACAAATTGTAAGTTTTGAGTTAGTTGAAGGACTATTAGAGCTACAATTTAAAAATATTTTCACAAGATAGAGAGTGTCCCAAATAAATAAAAAATATCAAAGTTGTATTTTTTTAAATGGAACACCCTGTATATTATTACATTTTCAGTTTCTACGATTCAAATAAAGGTAAATTTGATTAAGGTTTATTACGTTTAAACCTTATCGGTTTTGAAATATTTTGTTAAATTGCAGTAAAAATTTTAAGGCTTTATTTCTCCAAGGGTATCAAAGTTTTTAATACTAAATATTTACTGAAGTTTATTTAATGATCAGTTATTGTGTTGCAATAATAAATATAATACTACCTTATACAGAGTGTCTAAAAATGTATTTTAAATAATTATTAGCTTTAAACGGCAATAACTTGTTTAATTTAAATAGAATAGCCTGTATATTTTATGAGAATCAGATGCACAGTTTAATTGTCTATCAAATTGTATTATACCATTTTTTACCTATCTCTTCAAGTTTCCGTACAAAATGCATTTTCTTGTAATTTAGAACTTATTTATCAATATACCCATGGAATACTGACATATTTAGATTATTTTTAAAGATGTACCAAATTTTTAAAGAGTACAGATACTAATATTGTCGATATAATTCGTTTATTTCATTAAAAAAACTGTTTAAATATTTGTTAAAAAGGACCAATTAATATGATTCCAGTATTCAAACTACACATTGACTATTTGCGTTGATTAATAATTGTCCAAAATACTAAAAAACTGAGTTTTGTATGTGTATTAGACAGTGTGGTGAAAAGTAACACCTTAAAAATGATATTTCATTTTTTAATAAATGCTTATTTATAATAGAAACGTTCATTTTCATAACTTATTATTACATTGATTTCTGATTCAAATCCATATTTATTTAGAATAATTTATTAACGAACACAATAAAATATGTAATTAATTAGTATTTGGGCGGAAATAATGGTGTTATATTTAATTTATGGTATACTCTATTATAACGATTTGAATAGTTTTCTTTTTGCATTATAGTACATTTTGTATATTTGTTGCTTTAAAAACAATCTAAAATGTCAATATTCCATGGGTATATTGATAAATGAGGTCTAAATTATAAGAAATTGCATTTTCTACGAGAACTTGAAGGGATAGGTAAAAAATGGTATTATACAATTTGATAGACAATTAAATTGTGCATCTGATTCTCCTAAAATATACAGGGTGTTCTATTTAAATTAAAGAAGTTATTGGTGTTTAAAGCTAGAATTTATTTAAAATAATTTTTTAGACACTCTGTATAAGGTAGTATTATTTTTATTATTGCAACACAATAACTGATCAATAAATAAACTTCAGTAAATATTTAGTATTAATAACTTTGATACCCTTGGTGAAATGAAGCCTTAAAATTTTTACTGCAATTTCACAAAATTGAAAATATTTCAAAAACGGTAAGGTTTAAGTGCAATAAACCGTAATCAAATTTACCTTTATTTTAATCGTAGAAACTAAAAATGTAATAATATACAGGGTGTTCCATTTAAAAAAATACAACTTTGATATTTTTTATTTATTTGGGACACTCTGTATCTTGTAAAAATATTTTTAAATTGTAGCTCTAATAGTCCTTCAATGAACCCAAAACTTACAACTTGTATAAATCTAATCGTTTACCTACAATACTCCGTGTCGTATATCGTGAACAGCCCTGTATATCACCATATCACCAAAAGAATTAACTTCACAAAAGTCAATAAATAAAATGCTACCCTCTATGACGCGAACTTTATCTGCGATACAGTATTATAGAGAATATATGTATTGTCAAAAAAAGGATATTTAATGAAAAACACATGTCTAACCTTCGTTTATCCCTTCTGGCGAAGACGTCATTCCAAGATTACTATTATCTGAGCTTTGATCATTTTGTTGTGGATTTTCATTAACAATATCTTGGGCGCCGTCATTTATTGGCTCTTGATCATTTCCACTACTTATCTTTGTTTTATTTTGATCGATATTTGTTTTCCCTTGCTCTTCTTTTGTTTCTTTTGGAAAATCATTCTGATACGGTTGAGTACTAGATTGTTCTACCGTACTAAAGTTACTGTTTTCTACAGGCTTATTATTGCCATTTATTTTATTCTTTGACTGGTTCCCACTTTTATCCTTCCGGTTTTTAGTGTTTGGATTAATATTATTAGCGTTCTCTTGTAATATCGGTATTTCCTTTGACAAATCACTGAAGTTCGGTTGATTATTACTACTCATCTTGTTCTGTTGAAAATCTATCGGAGTTGTTTCATAGTTTTCGAAATCTTCCTCCTCTTTTAATATTATATCTTCTAATGTGCTAGAAATATTTAAAATAACGCGTATGTATTCTTTTAAGTTTTTTTTTATTTTTTCAGATATAAACGAGATTTGGTATGTTAGTATATGTCATAAATTTGGATTGATTGACGTATTTAATTGTTTTCGGTCATTTCCTGTTTCACCGCAAATAACTACAACTTTTGATTTTTTAATTACACCCTTGTTATTTTTATTCTTTTTTTTACTTATTCGATACAAAATGACACTCTGAATAGAATGACATATCACATATCAACTTTTGACATTTTTGTTTAAAAATCGTATTTTAAATCTCACTCTAGAGTGCCATGGCTGTGTTTAAAATACTAATTAATAATCAAGGACCTTTGGAAAATAGATTTGATCGTATAATATTTTTCGTGTCTTGTTTTAGCCAGTTAAAAGATGCCCAAATCCTATTTTTAAACATATCTCATTTTTTTCAAATAGAACGAGGGCGGCTCATTAGCATATTTGGAAAAAACATTTTTTTACGAACAATTTGGTACCACATACTTGGTATTTCGACTCAAAGTGTCCTTATGAACCGCATATTTCAATATCAAGTAACCCATATGAGAAAGTGTCAAAATTTGACATATGATATGTCATTCAAAAATCAAAAGTTGCAGTCATTTCCGGTGAAACAGGAAGTGACCGAAATCAATTGAACACGTCAATCAATCCTGATTTTTCATATACGTATAGTATAGTTTACGTATAGTTTATCTGAAGTCAGTTGGAATAGAATGTGACGCGCTTAATTTCGGCACTGTCTTTGTCGACATCATCGGGAAAAAGTAATTAAAAGTTTCAGTACTTCCAATTGACTTTGGAATTACTATACTAAATCTCATTTTTTATCTGAAAAAATAAAAAGGCATAGGGTTGAGCCACTTCTGAGAAACACCCGGTACAGTGTAAACAAGTAAGTTTAGTATGGAGGTAGTAACTAGATTTGAATGCAAACTCTCAATACAACTTTTAACGTAGTATTAGAAAAGAGCATATAAGATCCCAACTGAAGTATTCATATTACTAATAATTTTATGGGAAGGAACTGTTTATAATTTCTTTAGATTTTAATCATTTAAAGAGTAATTGAAGATCGAATTTTTGATATGTTTCCAAATTGAGTTCTCTATCTATTTTGTTTTTCTAACAAAATTTTCTTTATATAGGTAACTGTAAATACATTAGAAACTAATGAATTTTCTCTTATGAAGGAGATTAGTGAAGCTTACACTTAAGCTATAAAATTAGATTTATATATATAGTTTATACTCTAGAATATAATTATGATACTACCTTCTTTTTCAACATATTAATATACAGGATATTCAATATATTTTGGTTAATATCTATATCCGTAAAGATTTGTTTTAGAAACATGTTTAAACTATACAAGGTGAGTCTTAAATAAATGCAAATATTTTCAGTACTGGTAGATCTCGATAAAAGAAACATAATTTATCTTTACCGTTTTTCAAATACGTTCAAAATAACCGAGTTATTTTACTTTGAAAATTTCCAAAAAAAAAAATTTTTCCTTAAATTTTGAGAACCACTGGATCTTTTCTGGGGTTTCATTCTTGTAAGTTTAATCTATTACCTGAGTTGCAATATTATCAAGAAATTATTATGGAGGTTTCAGATCTCTAGTAGTAGTTTTGAAAACTCTAGTAACTTGGTGAGTTACTAGAGTTTTCAAAAAGGATAGAACTAGAGAATGTAACCTAAAGATCATAAGAGGACCAGAATAGTTCTGAAAAGGTCACAGTGGATCAGGACGAGTTACCTCGAAGAATCTAATCTAGTATTTTCTTTGGTAGTTCAAGAGATAGTTCAATAGTTAAACAATTTTGGTAGCAATTCTCAGGCGGCCATAGATAAATACATGTCCCTGAAGTTAGTTTAGATAATATTTCGTAAAAGTCTTACCTATTTTCACCAGCCATATTTTCATCTTCAGATTGGTTTCTATTTTGATAAATAAAATCTTCTGGCGTGCCTCCGATTTCCAAATCATCACTGTCAAAAACTTCTTCAGAGGTGCTAAGTTTTAAAACCAATTTCGTTTGACCATTTTCTGGCCATTCGTAATATGTTTTGGTTAAGAAATTGCCTGATGAACAGTGAAATCTAGTAATACATCGGTAAAGTGTAAAGTTTTCTGTTTCCTTTACAACATGCAAATTTATTTGTTGAAATCCTCTGCTATCGGGAAATTGTAATTTGAAAGTTTTCTGGGTTTCTTCCTCCTCGATATTGTCGAAATTTTGATTCTTTTCACCTTAAAATTATTAAAAGAGAAATCAAATGTTAATTTAAGCATATCAATATTAGTGTATTAGGCTTTCGCAACGTAGAGAATTAAAATAAGAGTGTTTAGTAATATTTTGTTGTCTAAATTTTACTATATCATTGATAATATTTTCTACCAAACTGTTTATTGTAAAAATAAGTTTTATGTTTTTGAACTAACGGTACTAAAGCAAAAACTATGTATTCAATAGAACATAATAATAAGTTTTAAAATGATATTTAAAAAATAAATCGTATATTTATTTTTATAAAAATGGTTTAAAGAGTCTATAAGAATCAATTAAGAAATTGCAAGAATCTAAAACATTTGTCTAATTTTAAACTTATGAAGACAGTATGTCCCAAGATTGTCTTTCCAAAAGGAAACACTTTTTTTATTAATATTTAAATTAACTTTTTGAGAAAAAATGCATTCTTTATAAAAGTTTTTGTTTTCATTCTTAATTTCGTTTTAATTCTTTGATGTAGATGCTGGTTACTATGAATTATTACGATTAAAGTTATATTTTTTGAAAATATCACAAAGATTAACTTTTTCGACCTGGTTGAACAATATAAAAAAGTAATTTTAACGTCTAGTCATAAAAATAAAGCACTTTTACGCCTAAACACAAAAGTACGAAAATATATTATTAAACCTACAAAGTGTCAAGTTCAACGATCGTAACCTTTAAATCTTTTTATATTACATATTTGGAACATTTGAAATTGTTTAAATTATTTCTGACGTTTGAAAAAAACAGCATGTTCTATTCGGAGTAAAAACTAATTTTTGTGCCTCGCCTGTATATCGCTAACGCTCGTCCGTCAAATGTACAGCTTCCAAAAAACTTCCACAAAAAGTAACATTTTTACTCCTAATAAAACAATATACCGAAACAATGATCGAAAAGAAACGGCGTCCAGTTGGCTAGGAAATGACGATAGATGACATTTCCCATATAAATTTACATATACAATGACAGTGATCTTCATTTCATAGCCATCGCTGACGCCGTTTTTTTTTCGATCATACGGCCTACTATTTTTTGCTATTGTAAAATGTTATTTGAAGCATCATAATCACCTTTTCTGTAGCATTGAACTGAATAAATTTGATGGTTCTATAACTATTAAAAGGCCAAAAAATATGATGTTGATGTAAATTAATAATAACCATCTTTCAAAGAACGAAACCAAAATTATGTATATTACCATAGAAACGCGTTTTGATATTTGGAACTGAAAAAATTCAACTATACAAGGTGTTTCAAAAAACATGTGCCATCTCTCGTGGAGAGATTCCTCACGTAAAAATAAGATTTATTTTTCATATCAACATAGGTCCAATTCTGCTTTGTTTCGTAGATACAGAGTGTTAAATTCTTAATAATCTTTCGATTTATTATAATTTTCTTCCAAGCACTTTTAGCGTTTCGAATGAAATGTTGAGGGTAAAAGTCACTATAAATGGGACAAATTTTAAAGCTAAAAAAGTGTCGACATATTCACCAGTGACGTGCATATAGATTATCACTGGAATAGTTTTCAAAAAAACGAATGTACGCCACTGACTTTTTTTCTTTTGTTAGCAAAATAATGTAAGCAGTTTAATGCCGATTAAAAGTTGTCTCTTGATATTTTGTCGATTTTGAACTCCTTTATGAGATAAACGCATTTTTATTAATTTGCCTTGATCCAAGTCTAATAGCAACTTTTAAAAAAATAATATCATTAACTTGCAGAAGTTTTAAATAAGTACTCTTTGATTTCTCATCAAAAAGTATGGAAAAAAATTCCTACAAACATGGATATGGAACTATGCATTTCCTTTTTAGAGTTACAGTATGTTAAAACTTTTTAAAAGTAGGTTTTTTGTAATTATCTTAAATGCCACTATTTTTTATTTGAAATTGCTGTATGTTGGACTAATACTAATAATAACTAATAGTAATAATATTTAATAATAAATTAGGTAAAATAGATAATTTATTAATTTTATTTTTATTTTAATTTTATTGATTTTGATTTATAAAGTTGCGCTTATCTCATCAAAATATCAAGAAATAACTTTTAAATGGCGTTAGACGGCCTACACTATTTTTATATCGAAATAAATAAAAATCAGTGGCGCACATGTATTTTTTTTGAAAAATATTCCAGTGATAACTCATATGCACGTCTCTGATGAATTTATCAACACTTTTTTAGCATTAAAATATGTACCACTTAAAGTAACTTTTACCCTCAAAATTACATTCAAATCACTAAAAGTACTTGGAAGAAAATTATAATAAATTGAAAGACTTTAGCACCCTGTAGCTACGAAACAAAGCAGAATCGGACCTATGTTGATATGAAAAATAAATTTTATTTTTACGTGAGTAATCTCCCCACGAGAGATGGTACATGTTTCTTGAAACACCCTGTATATTGATAACTTTCATATTTTTCTCTAAACGGAATGGAAATTTTGAAAAGTATAAAAAGATTAATCATTTTAGGACCCACAAAAACTTAAGAAGAATGCATTTTTCTCAAAAACTTAATAATAAATAAGTTTTTCGTAAAAGACAATCAGGGGACATATTTTTTATTTGAAGTAGATGAACTAAATTAGAAAGAAGCAGTTTGTTATATTCTACAATATGTTGTATAAAATAATTCTGAAAATATAGAAATTAGTATTTTAGACGAAATCAAAATCTTAGTTATACAGGGTTGTTCACCACATACGACACGGAGTATTGTAGCTAAACGATGATATTTTTACAAATTGTAAGTTTGGGGTTCGTTGAAGGACTGTTAGAGCTACAATTTAAAAATATTTTTACAAGATACAGAGTGTCTCAAATAAATAAAAAATATCAAAGTTTTATTTTTTTAAATGGAACACCCTGTATATTATTGCATTTTTAGTTACTACGATTAAAATAAAGGTAAATTTGATTAAGGTTTATTACACTTAAACCTTACCGTTTTTGAAATATTTTCAATTTTGCGAAATTGCAGTATAAATTTTAAGGCTTCATTTCTCCGAGGATATCAAAGATTTTAATCCTAAATATTTACTGAAGTTTATTTATTGATCAGTTATTGTGTTGCAATAATAAAAATTATACTACCTTATACAGAGTGTCTAAAAATTTTTTTTAAATAATTACTAGCTTTAAACGGCAATAACTTATTTAATTTAAATAGAACACCCTGTATATTTTATGAAAATCAGATGCACAATTTAATTGTCTATCAAATTGTATTATACCACTTCTTACCTATTCCTTCAAGTTTTCGTAGAAAATGCATTTTCTTATAATTTAGACCTCATTTATCAATATATCCATGGAATATTGACATTTTAGATTGTTTTTAAAACAACAAATGTACAAAATGTACAGGCTAGTAATATTATCGTTTTAGTAAAACAATAATATTAGTAGTTAATGTATTACCCATTGTATGCAAAAGAAAACTATTTAAATCTTTATAAAATAGTATACCATTAATTAAATATACCACAGTATTTCCGCTTAAATACTAATTAACTACATACTTAATTGTGTTCGTTAATAAATTATTCTAAATAAATGTGGATTTGAATCAGAAATCAATATAATAATAAGTTATGAAAATGAACGTCTCTGTTGTTATAAATAAGCCTTTGTCAAAAAATTAAATATTATTTTTAAGGTGTTACTTTTTACCACACTGTCTAATACACATACATAATTCAGTTTTTTAGTATTTGGAGCAATTATTATTAATCAACGCAAACAGTCAATTAATGTCGTTTGAATACTGGAATCATATTAATTGGTCCTTTAACAAATATTTAAACAGTTTTTTCTTTATTTTTTTATGAAATGAACGAACTATATCGACGATATTAGTATCTGTACTCTTTAAAAATTTGGTACATCTTTAAAAATAATCTAACATGTCAGTATTCCATGGGTATATTGATAAATGAGTTCTAAATTACAAGAAAATGAATTTTCTACGGAAACTTGAAGAGATAGGTAAAAAATGGTATATTACAATTTGATAGACAATTTAATTGTGCATCTGATTCTCCTAAAATATACATGGCATTCCATTTAAATTAAAGAAGTTATTGCCGTTTGAAGCTAATAATTATTTAAAATAAATTTTTAGACACTCTGTATAAGGTAGTACAGTTTTTATTATTGCAACACAATAACTGATCAATAAATAAACTTCAGTAAATATTTAGTATTAAAAACTTTGATACCCTCGGAGAAATGAAGCCTTAAAATTTATACTGCAATTTCACAAAATTGAAAATATTTCAAAAACGGTAAGGTTTAAGTGTAATAAACCTTAATCAAATTTACCTTTATTTTAATCGTAGAAACTAAAAATGTAACAATATATAGGGTGTTCCCTTTAATAAAATACAACTTGATATTTTTTATTTATTTGGGACACTCTGTATCTTGTAAACATATTTTTAAATGGTAGCTCTAATAGTCCTTCAACGAACCCAAAACTTACAATTTGTAAAAATCTAATCGTTTACCTACAATACTCCGTGTCGTATGTGGTGAACAACCCTGTAGATATCAAATCTTTGGAGATAAATTTTAAAAAATGTATTCTTTGGAGATAAATTAGAATCGTGTTGTCTAAAAGACTATGTTCGGGGGTTCTAATATTTGCTAAAAATAATGAGTGACTTACTTGGATAGTCAAAACTTATCTCCACTATTCTCCAAGCGTATCTGTCATCCTCAGACTCTTTGCTTTCCTTAACATACACAATTTCTTTCCAACAAATTTCCGTGTTTAGAGTATTGTTATATTTCTTACGGTAGATTTTATCCGAAGAACCATGCCCTACTTCGTCTACCAGTTTTAAAAGCATGTTACTGGGTTTTACTTTGGTAATAATTCCATCCGAATCATTGGGAATTGGTGATGGTGATAGTGAGGATATAGATTCTACATTGTTCCTACTCAGTTTTTTTACGTAAACTGCTTTCAAACCCTAAGATATTATTGCCATTTAAAACTTGATTTTGAAACACAAAAAATATTGTTTAATGACAGTGCAGGTACTTACAGTGATTAACAGTGATGCTAGCACTAATTTAAAGATCATTATAACTCACTGAACTAATCTTACAGAATAATAAGGTAAAACATAAAATTAGGTGTTTTATAATAAAGAGCAATTGATTGTTGTGGCACGTATTATACTGTATTTTTATTTAGTTTCGAACAAAGGTAAAAACAACAAAGATTTTTCATATTCGCGGAAAGTTCAAGTTCATTTTTAATATAATTTCGAAGAAGCTGTGTTATATGATATCATTGTATATTACACAATTTTGTGTTACAGATATAAATTTTCTTCTAGTTATTTTTATTCATTGTAATTAAATATAAAACGCCTTTTTACTTGAATCAATAATGCTTTGTTGTTTCTACAGGGTGATTTAATAAAGGGATGAATAACCTTTTACGTATTATACTTTCAACTGTTAAGCCCATATTAAAGGATTAAATGATGAATATAAATAAAAAAAAACTGAAATATTATATTATTATTATAGTTGAGGACTTTTTTAAATGTTTTAACCGAGAGGAGATTTGAAAATATTTGTATATATTTATACAGGGTCAGTCTTAAATAAGTACCAAATATTTTTAGGGGTAGTATATTTTGCCCCTAGAAATATGATTACCTATAAGGTTTTTATCGCGAAACAAAAAAATTTAAATTTAAAAAAAAATGGAAATTTTTCTAGATTTTAGTTAAAAAACATAATTTCTTAATAATATGGCAACATAGATAGTAGAAATTTATAAGAAAGACAAACCAGAAAAGATCCAGTGGTTCTCAAAATTTAAGCAAAACACATTTTTTTTGGAAATTTTTAAAATAAAATAACTCGGTTATTATCGACTTATTTGAAAAAACGGTAAAGATAAAATATGTTTCTTTTATCGAGATCTACCAGCTCTGAAAATATTTGATTTTGTTTAGACTCACCCTGTATAATTCAGGAGTATATTTAAACGTAGTAAACAAAAATAAACTTGTTATATTAAAAATACTCGTGGGTTAAAGTTGGGTAATTTTGGTCAATTGTTTTTTTTATTGGTTAGATGAAAATGTTTTACAAAATAGCATATTATGATAAATCAAGTAGTTCAAAAGCTTACTTTATTACAAACAGGGTGATTCTCTAACATGGAATAAGTACAGACTCGTCAATTATAATTTTAAATTGGCGTTCTTTTTGTTGATTGAAGACAGTCTTATACAGCGTGTCCAAAATTTGAGATATAACGTCTTCGACATTTAAAAAAATACAATTACATTTTTTTGAAGTCTATTCGTAAAAGGTACATGAAGTAATAAAACAAGTGTGTACAGGTATATCAGTATGTCAGCCAAAGTAATTAGATATATTATAGAAAGCAGTTTCAGTTTTGTTTATGGTGATTTCAGTTAGTAAATGCATATGTTGTGAGTAACAGTCGGAAATCAGTGATTGTTAACAATTACTAGTAAAAGTTCAGATTCACTGATTTGCTAAGACTAGGCCAGTAAAAGTTCAACATCTATTTTTTAAACCAACTTTTACTAGTGAATGCTGGCATTTGATTCCCTAGATAATACCAGTGAGTTTGAAAAGAAAGATTCAGTTATTGGCAGTTGTCACATGTTTTAAAATAAGGATAAGTAAGGATAAGTATAATAATCAATATAAGGCTAATATTAAATTGGCAACGTTCACAGATATCTGGCGTAAATCGCTTTGTTTTTTGTGGTTATTGGTTATGTATAATTGTTTTATTATCGTTGTAAAAAGTGCTGTGCGGTATTTTCTCTAAATGGAAGAACTTTTCTATGAGAAGTTAAACCAAAATAGGCTCTCGCAAAAATGTAATAGTGCTTGTTATTTATGTTTGCAATATAATGAAAGGACAGCAAAAGTTAAGTATGACAAAGAAAAAGTTATTAAGGAACATAGTGAGTATAAACTTATTAGACGTTTTGATGTGCCTGAAGTGGCGTATGTTTTATTTTACCCATGATGAAGAACTTATGAAATATTAAATAATGTTCATTATCAATGTATTGGTAATGGCAGCTGGGATCGGATGATGAAGGAATTAAAAAGGAAATATAGAACTATTGCATATAAAGACGTCAATATATATTTTTCAGTTTCTGAGCCCGCATAAACAAAAACGAATGAGATAATGAATTAATCTTACAATAAAATAACTTTTACTAGCAACCTTTAGTAACTGTTACCTTCACTAATGAGAATGTGAGAAATTAGTAAAAGGTGACACATTTCTTTAAAATACGACAATGCGTAATAGTTAGCATTTCCTAAGGAATGTTAACAATCACCTAATTTCCGACTTTCGCTAGTACAGATAGGTACTATTTTAAACTTTTATTGAAGAAATAACATCGAGTTGAATTTATTTTTCGAATAATAAGATGTATAGAGGGATCTGATAATGTTTGCTTAAATATTTCTTAAACGACAAGAAACATAAAATCCAAAATTATATAAAAAACAAATATTATTGGTTTACTGAATTTATTCCTGAAGTTTGAGAGTCATCCTCTATACACATACGTCCAGGTATATCGACATTCGTCTCCCCTATTCCCCATGCCCCATTCCCCCCAACCTAACTTTCTCCCCCGCTGTTTTTAACTTCTTTATCGTCCTGTCTCTCTGTCACTCTTCTTTACGATATCCCTTACTGAATATGTATCCTACGAAATTCTGACAGCCGCATATATTTTATCGTAGTTCGACTTTTACTAGTGATAATCAGATACAGTCTTACTCTTCTTTTTCCACACGCTTATGATTTACTAGTAAGTGTGAATCTCAAAAAGTTTCGTATGATTGAAAAAAAAATTGGCGCCGGGAGGCACGTATAGTCGCCCATACTAAAATTTGTTAATATCTCGAAAACTGCAACTTTGACTGATTTTGATGTTATTACAAATTTTGTTGCAAATATTATTCCTAATCCTAATTTGAAAACCGCGTTTCACTAACTAGTGTAATTTTGGAGTTACGATTTTTTTAAATTTTTAACCACCTCCTATACCCCTTTATTTACAACCCCCCACCCCCACCAAAAACTAATGGCCAGATTCTCGGGTGCCACAGTATTTTTGTGCCAAATTTGGTTAAAATCGGTTCAGCGGATTTTGAGTTATCGTGTTACAGACGGACAGACGGATGGACAGACAGACAGACAGACACCACGAAAATATTTTGTATTTAGGTCATTTATGACCCAAGTAACTCATTTTGAGTGAAATTAGAAAAAAAAAATTTTTTTGCCGATCCTAATAGCCTACCATACCTATTGGTATGGTCGGCTAATAACGTCATTATAATTTTCAGCTTATTCAACCATTTTCAATTATGGTGTATGTACCATATACATATATGGTGTATGTATATTAAGTATGTTTATTTAGATACTCTCTTTCTAGTTGAGCCTATTGTTGTCTATTGTTGGCCATGTGGGTCCAAGTTATCCCTGTAATTTTTTAATATCATGGTCCCATCTCAGGTTTGATCTTCCTCTATGTCTCTTGATTCCTCGTGGGTATACCATGCTGTATTTTTTGTAGTCCATCTGTTCCCCGTCCTTCTTGCCAGGTGTCTTGCCTATTACCACTTTTTTATTTTGTTGAAAACATCTATTACCTGGGTCTTTTGTCGTATCCACTCTATTCTTTTACGGTGTCTATTGGTTATTCCCAGTATATTTCGTTCCATTTAAAACTAAATATTTCACTGATCTATTTCTTTTTAGTTTTTCGCTTGCTTTCTTTATTAGGGCACAACTCGCACTATTCTGTAATATAGTATAATAGGTATAAAATATTTTTTTAAATTACTTTTTTATCTTCTTTAGTACTCTTTCTCTCTTATACATAATATTAGTGGCATGTTCTCACGAACATTCCAAACCTATCAGAAAAAATGTTCTGAAACAGCTCTAATCATATTAGTAATCTATATTTTTTGGTTGTGACATATCTATGTTTTGGAAAGATTAACTACGTTGGAAATATGAGAATAACGGAAGCCAACCGAAGAGAACTAGACGCAGTAAAAATGTATACCTACAGAAGAACTTTAAGAATTTCTCGAAAAGATAGAGTGCGAAATGAAGAAATCCTGCAGAGTATAGGAATAGAGGGATCTTGATAACCCGACAACCGACATCGACCGCAAACAACTTGTATGGTACAGGCATGTGCAGAGTATGGGATGATACCCGACTTCCAAAACCAGTTATGCAATGGATACCGCAAGACCGGAGAGAAGGCGTGGAAGACCCAAAATGACTTGGAAGAAGGGTATAACAAAGGACAGGACTGTCAGATGTCTAAATGAGGGGCAATGGTGTGACGGAATGAGTGAATGGAAATTAGGCCATTGGACAAAGTTGCAAGACGTTTTAAACCAATATATTATTATTATTATCAGCCATTATAGTATTATATTATTATTACCTAAGAAAAGGCACGATATAACAATTGGTCGCGACAACCATACACACGAGTTACAAAGAAGAATAGGACTAACATGGGCAGCATTCGAAAAACTAAGATATGTGTTAAAATCAGATCTACCAATGTTCTTAAAGAGGAAGATGTTCCATCAGTGCGTTATGCCAGTACTTACATATGATGCAGAGACCTTTACACTGATGAAAAAGTCCTTAGAAAAAATATGTGTATAGCCCAACGAGCTATCTATAAGAGACAAAATACCCAATACAGTTATAAACAGCTTACATGAATAAAAGATGCCACATATCTGCTTAAAAAACTCAAATGGAACTGGGCTGGGCATATTGCCAGAAGAACGTACGCTAGATGAACCAAGCTAATAATAGAGTGGCGGCCAAGACAGGATGTTCTCAGAAGCAGAGGCACACCTCCGACAAGATGGTCAGATGACCTAAACAGATTTAGAGGAAACTGGATCCAAGTGGCACAGGACCGAGAAGATCGGAAAGATTTGAGGGAGGCCTACGTCCAGCAGTGGACACTCCAGGCTGGTCGATGATGAGGATATTAGAAAAAATCTTAAATATAAACTGATTTTTTTAAAAATCTGATTTTCAATGCTTAATCATATCATCTTCTGCCACCATAAACTAAGTCGCTTGAGAAC